ATCGCGACGGGTTGTACGCCATACATACGGAAATAAGAATTATTTATAAATCAGTGGCCGCAGTTTCATTGTGTTATTCACAATGGGGGAAAAGCGGGAATAAAACCCGACGAATTTCGATGAACTACATTCTTCTATGTGTGTAATAACATATACGGAGATAAACATCATCCCAGTATCACTTTTAGATTCTAATAAGCACTTGATGCTATCTGAGGGAAATAAAACTTGGCGCGAAAAGCGTGGCTCGACGCTGGTCGATCTCACGCTGGTTGAAACCTCTCAAGATTCTCGTCCGGGGTGAGAAGGAGGGAGGAAGCGGGGATATCGAGCATTTTGAGATACGAATTATAAGGTCTTCTCGGCACGACAGAGTCGTTTGCAACCCTGCTGGATTACGGCAGCATCTCGGGTATCGCAAACGCTCGACTCGCCGACGCGATCGGTATCACGTACGTGCTAATCTGCAGTCGTGCGGTGTAACGGAGTTGCGTGACCATGAACAAAGACACCCTTGATCCTGGACAACGTCGCGCGATTGTCACGAATTAGGGCTGTTATCCGCGCGAACGTGCGAGCGTTGTGCGCGACGCGTGGCTTATTCGCGGTCTGCGAATCGTTCTGATTTTGCCGGCTGCTCGAATGTCGGTTAATTCGACATCGGGCCCGGGGTTGTCGCGTATTGACGAGTCGCAAATTCGACTCGCGCGTGCGTTCGCGCTGGGCAACGAAGCGCAATCGACGATAAATTCGCGGCCGCGCAATAACGCTACAAATCTGTAAGCTTCGCTCTCAGAGAAAGAGAGAGAGAGAGAGAGAGAGAGAGAGAGAGAGAGAGAGAGATTATATTTGAAATCAAACTCGCGCAGAGAGACAATTTCCGAACGTCCCTTCGTGTTTGTTCTTTATTTTAATTATTACGAAGCTAATCGCGTCGTACTTGAAAAACATGAATGTGTCGGGTTCATTTGCGATCTTGATACATTACCCCTTCATTGACGGACGTTGTTTACACGAAACGCTTCGATAATTTTCTAGGACAATGCCTTTGCACAAAGTAGCTGCAATTACATATGTATCTAGCACGTGTCGAGTCATTTGAATGCTAAAATTTTCGATGAACAAATGTTTTAATTTTCAAATAAGATTGTTTACGAATATCTTGTTTAACACGCGGAAGTATAGTTACACATACACTGATAGCGTCGTGTTATTAGTGCAATGAACTTTCATCTCCTACTCCTATTAGTCGCTATTAGTAGCTGTTTAAAAAAAGAACAGACAGAGGCTTCGTCGCGCGCCGCAGCTGAATGATTAATTTCACCAAGTCACAGATTTACGGTACTTTCGGGATAGGCGGCTTGATTTGAAGTGGCACTTTTTAAAGCGTAACGGATACTTGATTCAAGCATTTTAATGCGGAGCACGAATCTGTATTTCGATAATACCCTATTTAGCATACCGCAGGCCGAATATTGACCTGGTCAGTTCTAAATTAATCGAAAACTCAATACGCCGTTGTGTAACAAAGTGTATCGCAACTATGTATATCTTGGCTGTACAGTTATCGCTTTCGTAATCTTATCGATTCCGTCATATAGAATTTACACTTTTAAACGCTGATGACTAGATTTCCCCGACGGCGATGTCGCGCCTATAGAACGGCAATTCGACTGCGTTCGGCGCGCGTGAAAGAAGAATCCCGTCGAGAATGCATCAAAGGAATGCCTAAGAGCGTACACGCTCAAATAAATATTTCGCAATCGTTACAACCGATGCACGCTTGTCCTACATTCGCTCTAATGGTAAATATTTAAATGTAGACAAGTTGAACAGGTTCTTTGTCCCGTAACAGTTTGTTTTCCGTAATATAAGATCGCATGTCGTAACTGCGAAAGAAAGAAAAGGTTTGAGGACCGTCAAACTTTTAAATATAAAATTCCCTTGTTCTCCGTCGTGATACAATTTTTTGCCGCGCTGCAAAGTAGCTTTGCGTCGTTAATGTGTGAACTTCACAACTGCCAAAGTAAATTATTGAATCTATATATTTTACGCTCACATACACGTTGCTCTCATCAATTGCGCGTGAGTTTTAAATTAAACAAAATATCCCCTTGGTTTGCAGGAAAATCCTGAAAAATGAAGGATGACGTGGACGAGGATGATGCTGGAACGTCTTCTTCAAGCACATCCATGCTTGAAAATACCACTTCATGCGGGTAAGTCAAAGTTGCCCTCCGGATCGGCATGCTAATCGCCTTTCCGCTATCAGAGGCGCGATATGTAACGGGGATATTGCTATCAGAAGTCTTTTTAAATTTAATTCCTTCTGTTACATAAAGATACTACGTGTAGAGCATATTATCATTATTGCATAATATATTAGATAGAAATCACGTTTATTTACCAGACAATAGCGAAAATAACATTTATAGTAGGCGTCACTCTACACCCACATAAGTGTGTACACGAAAATATATAAGTATAATATGTGCTTTTTATATGTTTTTCTTCTTTGGAATATAAACAGAAAAGATTGGGCAAAATTAACCACACGTCTATGTGATCGAAAGACTAAATTTCTTTCCAGGCTTTCTAAAGAGCTTCTTATTTCAAAATTTAAAGAAGGATTGTGGTTATCTTATCTAAAAACAATGCATATAGATTCTTGTTTTGAATAAAACATTCTATGCACAAGTCATTTCGCACATGTTGCGTATGCATGCTAACACTTAAAAATACATATAAAGGAGTTATTTCCACAACGAAACTGCGCTATAAAGTGCAGTGCAGTTTATTGTTAATTCAATTATAGCTTCTTACGAATATAACCCCTGAACGATCGCTACTCTTCATGTTCGGTTAATTAATCAGCCATAAGTGCGACACATTACTGCACTCTCATCTGATCGGAAGTGCCAGCTATGTGTTACGGTACGCAGCTGAGCAAAAGGGTTCGAACTCTCCGAGTTGCTAAACGACATCGACTTCGAACGTGCAAGACTTGCATGCTCCATGTTTGCTCGGTAGACTCATGATTGTTAACGTTGAAGGGACGCAACTTTGAGCGAGACCGATGAGAAAAAAAATTTGCTCTTTGAATTTGCGCATGAATCGTGTCATCATTTTTTATAATATATAATCATAATTTATAATAATGATAAAGGTTTAACCAGTGAGGAGAAATAATACTTGGCGGAAGTGCTCGGACGGACGCGAAGGACACAATTTGTCGGAAAAATACGAGTCACAGATAGCAGAATTTTTTAATCGTTCTCTCTATTGGACCTAATGATTAGGAAATTAGCTTGTAAACGTCGGTTTATTTTTCACTTTGCCTCTTTTTCCGGTATTCACGTCGAAAACTGTCGCTATCTTACGGCTCTGATACGCTATTTAATTTTTATGTCACGCTTTAAAACTATTTCCAAACTACCGCCAGTTTACTTCGAAGGCTAGAGCGATAGAATTTCAATAGGAACTGGAAAATAGCGGTAAGTGATATGCACTGACAATTTGCGAGGCTCTTATTTCGTCAAAGTCCACGTGAAAAAATAAAATGCTGCGATATATCGAAATTGCAGACTATATCTTGTTTGTAAGCAAACATTAGGAAGAAATTTGATGTCTCGTGCATTCGATGTCGCCAGCGATCTTCGATTGCGCTGTTCAATATCGTAATAAGAGGGTTAAATGAATATTTGCTCTCGGTGATGTAGGAAGAGAGAGAGAGAGAGAGAGAGAGACAGGGGTCGGTCTACGGCCATACTGCTTGATACAAATTATTGTATTGTTGATACAAACCATTGTACTCGCGCACCGACGAAAATATACGAAATATCACGCGGAATAAAACTTTGTGCAACACGCCGCGATTATACGTTCCGTAGATCAGAACGAATTACAGTCGCACTTTGTTTGAAATACGAGTTGGGTTTCGCGGGAAACATCCGACCTGAAAACTCAAAAATATCGCATTGGACAGATCGATTATCGAGAAATTCAATGCCGCACTCGCTGCACGTTTCGAAGCGAAAATTATAATCCGTGTCCCAGTATATTCGTGAGAACTAACTGCGCAGTCCATTTTTCAAAGGTTGGCCTTCGCGCGGTTACTTTGTGATATGACTCTTGTTTGCATGCATCGTCATTAGAGAGACCCCGACGTTTTTCTTTAGTACACTTCTTATATTCGTGACCTATTTATTATAAGAGTCACAAGAAAACCCCTTCAGTGGCTCATCACCGGACGAGTCGAAACCGCGTCGTCCGGAACAATCGAATCCTAAAAATAAACCATTTTCTTTTCGATGACGAACAATAGATGAAAATAGAATCGTCGTTTGATACAGCGGCGAAAATGGGGAGATATAAGATACCCTTCATACGCATGCTCGTACAGCTAGACGTTCATTAATTCTTGCGGATTACGATTATATTTATAATCTGTGACCTATAATCTGATGATCTATAAATACTTACAATATCTCAACGTATATATGCGGTGACATTCGATAATTATACATTTTACGTGCGTGAAAATATTATTAATGCACAGATAACAATATTATAGTAACCCGTTAACCTCTGAAAATGTGTGTAAAGGAAATATTCCCGTTTCCATTATAGACATAACTTAAGAAGTACATTGTCAGCGCACGCGCGCACGAAGATACTACGAAACGAGCAGAGAGAGAGAGAGAGAGAGAGGAGGGGGGAGGAGCGAAAAAGAGAAAGAGAAGGAATCTCTATGTCGACTGCATATATATATATACACGCATTTCCAAAATTCCCTCCTTATCAGGCGACTCACGAGTCGGCCGATGTGAGCGCGGCCTTAATAATGTGTCGTTATCACGCCGGGCGCTCGCGGCACGGATAGACGCGCCGGGAGTAGACGAGGGGAGCGACGATTGGTCGTCTCGGCGAGAGGGGAAACGTTGATTGCCGGCCGAGTGGGGGTAGCGCGCTCCGTCCAGCAGTTCGCATCCGACTGCCGTAGGTTGCGTCTCGTTCGTATCACTCTCTCTTTTTCGTCGTGTGCAATCTGTGTGTACGTCTCTCTCTCTCTCTCTCTCTCTCTCTCTCTCTCTCTCTCTCTCTCTCCTCTCTCTCTCTCTCTCCGCCTCTCCTCCTCGTCCTCCCGCTGTTCCCTTACCATTCGACAGATCCTGTCTCCGGCAGAGCCGCATGATATGCCAGCTGACAGTTTCGCGAGTGTTCGCGCGAAAGGTGGTGTACGACGTCGTTGCGTCGTATCGCGGCGCGCCGCAATTTTTCGCACGGAGCTTCGTAGTTCCCTGCCGCCTATATCGTCGTCGTAAAGACGCACTACGTTGGAGAACCCTCCGACTTGTCCCGCGATCAGCCTCGCGATCACTCGAGAGCGACGGAGAGCGAACGACGGAGATGAAAAAAACGGAACATCGTGCTAGTCGGCAATTATCTCGTGCTCGTGCTTGATCGCGACGAACGCGAGGGCACGCGCACGCGCGTGCGCGAGCGCGCGCGCGCGCGCTCGCAAAGCAGCAGCCGATTGTTGATCATTGCGATCATCGACGGATCTCCGCATTTGGAATAAAGCCGCTGTCGCCACCGCTCCGCTGCACGGTGAAAACATTCGGAACATTGTGTCAAGGTCAGGCGACGGCAGTTCGCGCTTCGTGTCACCGCGCAGCGCATTTCTGCGCAACAACAGAGATAGATAGATAGATAGAGAGAGAGAGAGAGAGAGAGAGAGAGAGAGAGAGAGAGAGAGAGAGAACCGTCGCGTCCGCGATCTCGGGATCGCGATCGTTGAGAAACTCGCGGTTGTGCAATCCTGCGACTTCTTCCGATAGATCCCCCCACCTCGCGACTGCGGATCTGAGACGCGATGTCAAGCGATGTGAAGCCGGTGTTAACTTCCGGCGGGGAATTCGCGGCAAGCACCGCGCGCGTAAACAAGTGCACGGCCGGGAAATCGAGGAAGAACTGTCATCGAGAGTTCACGATCGATTGAGATCGCTCGCACGTGGCAGCATTCGCGCGCGCGCGCGCGCGCGAGCGAGCCGAAACGTACATCTGCGCTTTCGCTTCTCGATTTCTCGACAACACACCTGAATAACATAGCGCGTGGCGCGCTACATCACTTGTGAGGAGGTTACGGGCGCGCGCGCGCGCGCGGCGCCCGTAGGGAATAGCATTTATACACCGAGTCGATGTTTGTCGACGTATGGCAGCTAGAGGAAGTGACATATCGTCCCGTTGACTACGACAACGTGAAAGTGTCACGCTGCTGCTCCCGCGGGAGCAACGGAACGAGCACGGTATTACGCTTCATTGACCGGCCCAGCAGCGAGCTCGACGAACTTACGCGGCACATTTACCGGACAGAGGTGACTCTATTATCGCCGCGCCAAGAAGCGATTGTGCGGTCCCGATAAACCGTCGGGGATCCGTCTAATTTTAATTCAAGCCGACGCAAACAAACTGTCGCGATAACGCGCTGAGGAACCAAATCGAATCATCGGCTATGTGCCGTTGACAACGGCGTTGGCGACAACGACGACGACGACGCATTTCCAGACGACGCTGCGTTCTCCAATATGGCGCACGACGCCGGGATACCTGCTGCAAACCGTGATGTGCGCGCGAAATGTTTATCGATGCAACCAAGTGAGAACACTAAATAAAAGATAAACGCAGATAAGTGACACATATTTCTTTCTTTTTCTCTGGGCGTAATGACTTTTATGGCGCACGTGGCGTGAAAGCCGTCCGAAAGTAATATCCGAGAGAGAATCGTAAGAGTGCATTTAAAGGAGAGGCAAGCGCATTTCGGAATTATGGCCGAGGGAAGTGGCCGACGACGCTCCGGTCGAATGGACAATTGAGAGGACAATTCCTCCGAAGCGGACGCATGTATCTCGATAAGTGCATCTCGGAATACAACATGTGGCAGCATCAGCAGCAGCAGCAGCAGCAGCAGCAGCAGCAGCAGCAGCAGCAGCAGCAAGCGTACATGCGAGGTTTGCACACCCAGCCGAACCAACAGCAAGCTCTCCATCCGGGGATTATCGGCACCGATGACCGCACGGCACATCATCAGCAGCATCATCCTCACCATCAGCACCATCGCGCCACCACCATCATGCCGGTACCAAGGTCAGGCCATTTGTCTTATTACGAGATAAGGTCGCGGGGTGTATCAAGGTGAGCGGATATGCGTGTGTACGCTGTTAGGGATCGCGCGTCTAATCGCGCTCAGATTGGACTGCCTTATTATGGCATGGCGAACGGCGTATGCGCGAACCTCGTTAAACCCGCGGCGTATTGTTATGAATCGCCGCGCTCGTCTCTCGAGATACCACACACCGCTACCGGCTGCGCTCCGGTCGTTATTTCAGCGACGTGTTCTTTCATCAGCTCGATATCGGTCTGTTCAAACGAGAAGACGCGAGTGTCGAGTCGAGCGGAGAGTTGCCGAGAGAATTTTGTTTTCCTCCCTAAAACACACGCTCCGAGATTATGAGAGAGAGAGAGAGAGGACGGATGACCTATTTTCGTAGCGGGAAAACTACGGATTTTCGACCACCGCCGCCACCACCTTTATTCGTGTTTTGCCAGCGAAATGATATCTCTCGCGAGCGAGCCGAAAATTCGTAAACATTCATATCACTCCCCGTTATGTTCGCTATATTTTACCCGGTGTATAAATATCTAATGATCTTGTAAAACACATCTGCAACACGGACGCTAACGCTCTCGCGGTCGCGATCGCTTAGTATTTTCTTGCTAGCCGCGCGTAGCGTAATTAGCGTCCCAGCATCGCATGCGGCGATGCGACAATGCGCGATTTTAACTAGAACCAAGACAAGAGGAAACAAGAGGAAAGAAGCAAAAGGGAACTGTGTCCGAGTCGCATGATACGCGGCAAGTGGTGTATACGTCGGGTGTTACGCAGGGGTACGATTTAGGAGCACAATGGCGTGGTGATATTTTACACACATAATAACAGATAATAGCGTAACAACAGATACTACTTACCTGTCGCCTCCAACGCTCGTCGACAGATGGACTCTTGTATTTGAATCTATCCATCCGAGCGTTTACGTAGCCGTTGGGCCGGCACATATAATATGCAGATAACCGCACATAATTATAAACGTGTACTTTTATCTGGCGATTTTGTTGCCATTTTGTTACGGTTACACGCGCGCGCTTTCTCTCTCTCTCCCCTCCCTTCGTCTTCTGGTTTATCTTGAAATCACTCGAAATGACGACGTCTCCGAAACCGGTCGTGTCTTTATCCTGCGACGTCTGCCGCTTACATCTCTCACGAGTCGACTCGACGACGCCCACCTGCCTGTCGTATAAGCCCGAAAATCCGAAAAAGCCAACAGGTTGATGATAAACTTGGATATTTCGTTTCGAACAACGTCTCAAAGGGACTGGAGGGTCAGATTGCTGAAAAATCGTGCTTGTTTTTGATAATATTTTGTGACGAACTGAATAAATGTGCAAGAATGAAAATTTTAGGTACAGTTATACAACATATATGAAGAGTAGAAAAATTTTGTTTATTAACAAATACTCGTATAAATATACGATATATATAGCTGAAATATACTCTTTTTTTTTTTTTTTTTTTTCAAGTTATCGTTTTTGCAGTAATATGTCGGCTCTCGGTGATCCGATCAGAGCGAATTTTAGCTAGAAATCTTGAGGAGGCTTATCATTATCCGGCGAACCACTAGAAAAAAATATCTAACAAAATGGCAGCTATTGTTAGGAAAAAATTCAAATTTTTCAGTTCTTTCACAATAAAAAAATTAATATCTCGAAATGAAATATTTTGACGGAGTTGTCCATCATGGTTCACCTGAGAGCCACATGAACAAATATTATTGCTTTAAAATTTCAAACCAATACGAAGCTCAGTTTCGGAGAAATTACTGCAAAAAGTTGGACAATAAAATCTCGAGAAAAACGCGTTTAGAGAATTTAAATGGACGTATATCTATATGAATATTTGTTTAAAAACAAAATTTTTCTACTCTTCATATGTTATATAAATGTAAATGTAAAATGTAAAATTTTCATTCTTGCACATTTATTCAGTTCGTCGCAAAATCAAGCGTCAAAAACAAGCACGATTTTTCAGTAATCTCTGACCCTCCAGTATGTCCCCCCTTAATGTCTTTTCTGTAAGCGCTCATTACATGTGCGATGCATTCGTGTCTTGGATTCGCTGCTATTTTTTTATGCCGCACATGAAGGAAGCAAACAACGAGTAGTAGCGCGAAGATTGCTCATGAAACTATAAACCGGGGCATTATCGTATTGTCCATTTATCGTTAGATTCACCAGAGCACAATAACGTTACTCACAGCGATTGGTTATATCCAGTCGCCGTGGAAGTGAGGGAAACGACTTTCCGACGACGAGAAGAACTTGTCCCTATCGTTCTTTCGTGCAGTTGCCAGTTTTTCGTTTCCAATTAAACGTTACGCGCAATACAAAATATTGCACACGTTACGCGTTACGCATTGGCACAATTTTTCCGAAGAACTGCGAGATAAAAAGTAAATCATATGCAATATTCCCTAAGCGCACACGTGTCGGTGCTGGCGATATTTTCTTTTTCTTTTCTCGCCAAGTTAGAATTCACGTGTTATTATGTAACGACGGTTCAGATTGTCGTAGATATACGGCGTGTACAACTCGCTCGGATAATTTTATACAGATATCAGTTGAAAGTAAGACCCTGAGCAAATGAACGGTTAATAAACGTAGCCGTTGCCTAATCCGGCGCGTGCGCGCGTTTAAACAATACCCCAAGTGATAAGAAAGCAACACGCACGCGTACTACATATGCGAGCGAATCAGATAACATCAATGCGATTGCTCCGTTATCGTTCGGGTACTGCTGAAACTGGCCGGCAAATTAATGCACCTATTGTTGCTGCTCATGTGCAGCCGTGTATAAGAAGTCACGTGTTACACGCGACGGCAAAATAAACTTCTCATTTGTAGCCGAAATTACCCGAAACGTTTCCACGCATTAGTTAGTCCGTGATTGCATACAAATGGAAACGGTAAATTTCCATGGCGTATATACTTTGTTTTGTAAATTTTCGCATGTAGGCCCGTGACCAGCAATTATCTGCGTGGTCTGCGTACTCGTGGAAATTATATCGCGCTATTATCGTCGGAGAATATTTTAGAAAGGGACGTTTTGTGCCGAAAAAAAAGCACGAAACAGCTCGCTGCCGGCGTCAAACTTCAAGTCGGATCTTGTGGTCCGTTGAAATTGGATCGATCGTTATCGATTTAATAATAAACTCACATTGTAATGGTCTCGATGCCGTATCGTGGTGAAAGTAGTTTGGGTGGTATGCATGTGCAGAGACCAGAAACGCGCCATTTAATCCGACGTGCAAAAAGTCACTGGCTTCGCATTTTCGATCGATCGATTTCGTAGGGTATTTATTAGAGCAGAAAACAAATCGATGTACTGTCGTGAGCGGACGTGCATACAATCGCGGTAATCGCGAGGAACTTCTCCGGGATTCTCGTGATCCATGAGCTTGCGTTTCGCGCGCACGCCTGGCCATATGGAAATTGAAACAAACCTGCGTGTGTTTGTGCATACGTGGTACGGTCAAGTCCTGTCTGGAATCGGTGCAGACGATCCTTTGAATAAAATCTGCCGCGACAGGACGACACACCGTGCCGCAAGAACCCGCGGCTTGATTTGCATGGGGGATTAATTCAACTCGCCGACCTTTATAAGGAGCGACACGATATTTGGCATTTGACATATTCATATATTCTCTAAAAAGGGACACATCAGGCAGATTAGAATAGGATCCGTTTAGGTCCTGAAATATTAATCTGCTCGAGGCAGAAATACATGTCACTCTCAGCGTGTAGACAGCGAATATTTATTTTTTCCGAAACGCTCGCAGAAATGTCGATGAAATGTGTGTTAGTCAGAGAAACACACTACAAGGTCGTTAAGTTTAAATTAAATTTTGCAAAATAGCTGGTGGCTGTTACGGTCAAGAAAAAAATGGCAGCTCACATATTGTGATTCGGTAATCGACAAATCCGCGAGGAGCTGTACGATCGTTATGTAAAATTGATTTCCGATGATTCATGTAGACGACATTCTCGCGCGGTCATTAAATTGAATTGTGCTCTACTCGTCCACGATAATTTACACCGCGGTTATAGCGACGATTATGATTGGTTACGAGATAATTGTTTTTTTCTTTCTTTTTCTTTTTTTTTTTTTTTTTTTTCAAATTCTCCTCCGCCCTCGACGTACACACGCACACGATATTCGTCATCTTTTCGCCGAGTTTCAAAGTTGTCTCGAAACGATACGGGCAACTCTTGTACTTATCTGTAATTTATATCAGCGATCGCCGTTCGGGCGGGGCGCGTTGCACGTTGCACGTTGCACGTTGATATTTGCAAATCGTGAGTTCGAGGCGCTTCGCCTTGCAAATTCGATGCTTCCTGCATTTACAACGCCATCTCAGTATACGTTGAAAATAATTTCGACTGCAATGTTAATGCATGATCGGCTGCGTTTTCGCCCGTTCTCGCTCCACCTATCGATCCCTTGAAATCGATCTAATAAATATAAAACATCGCGCTGCATAGCCGGTCGCTCGCCGTCTCGCTGCATCGGCGTGGTGAAATCATTATAGGAATCTGTTATTGCACACGCGAAGCGCTCGCTTTTGCGTTAACGTCCTTGCTAGTCTTATCTCTTTTTCTCCTATTGTATTGTACCGTGTAGCAGCAGGCCACATAGAAGAAATTTTTAGATTCAAATCACATTGATACGTCTTTATCGCGCTACAAAAAAATACTCGTTACGTGCGCGATTGTAAAACGCACGTCGAATCGAATTTGCATCTTTTGTCGTCGGCTTCGCGATTTCGTTCAAATTCCGTTACAACCCGTTGTACAAATCGCTCCGAAAGTAAGAAGTAAAGACAAACAAAATTAGTGATACGGGCGATATCGATTTCCTTCGATCGTACGCCTCGTACAAGGACGGTTAAGGACGGTTTTCGTACGACGCAAGAAACCCTTCTGCGGCTGAAAATTTTCGAGCTGCTCGACATTACCGAGCGGTAATGTCGAGC